TCTATGTCTAAAGATTTTAGCACAGTGTTTGGCATATGATAAGTACTTAAACATTAGGTGATGATGCTTCGTTATTTATGAGAACTTAGTGTGCTTTAATGTCACAGATAGCTTCTACAGATAGCATTAAGGGAGACCTGGATTCAGTTCACAACTCCACTTCTTTTAACTAGCTGAATGACTAACAAATTAATCTCTGTAAGCCTAGTTTCTTCATGTGTAAAATGGGAATATAAGTTGTTGGTAAAGATCGATGAGGACAAAATGTAAAGCTCTAGCACAGTGCGTGACATGCAGTCAGAGCTCAGTGGACATCAGCTCTCCTTCCCTTCTGACCTGTGTCCAGCTACCACTCCAGTATCTCTGATAATACAGCTTGTGATGACCTGCTGGCTTCAAGATCCAAGGGCAGGGGCTGCTGGACCCTGGAGTTGGGAAGCTTTTATTAGGTAGTGGGGAGAGAGGCATCATCAGAGGGGGATTTATTTCTTTAATTTTACTGTAAAATATAACTTCATTTTTAATGTCTATGATATTCCATCCTATCTGTATACCAACATTTAATCAGTCCTTTTCTAACTTGGGGGTATTCTGATGGTTTCTATTTTTCTGGTGTACATAATATGTGTATTTCTTCTATGGATGTTGTGATAATTGAATACTTAAGGTGTAGTCATGCTGTTGGCTGTGAGGGACCAAGCCACATCTTGGATGTGGGGAACAAGCTCTTTTCCCAAGGGTGAAGTTCTTCATTGTATCCGTCATCTTAGCCAGTAATGCTGTCTTCCCATCCCCATTCCCCATCCCCTTGTCCTGTATTTTTATTTTTCCATAGTGCCTTGTATCATTTTATACAATAGTCTTATTTTAATTTAGTGTTTATTTACTGTCTCCCCTTACTACAATGTAATAGGCCTTGAGGGCATGGATTCTTGTCTGTTCGGTTCACTGATGCACCTCAAATGCCTAGGACAAGTATATGGCACATAATAGGCCTTCATAAATGTTTGTTGAATGAGTGAATGAACTCTCTGGGTAAGAGGCTTATCCTCAGACAGGAAGTGACTAGGGAGAGCTCTACATGGTATCAGTGCGGGATACTCTGTCCTCTACAGAAAAAAGGTGGTAGTTCCTGGGTGGTGGAAAGCACAAGGCCCGTCCCACATGAAGGCAAGTGGGGAATGGAAAGGTGGAAGTTGGCAAATGGCCACAGAATTGCGAGTTGCAGCCACCCACAGGGACAAGGACAGGAATAGCAAAAGCACAGCCTATCTGGCAGCCCCTGTCTAGCTCACTGCAGTTGGGACAGGCACTGCTTATTGATCATTGATGGAGTTTGGATGTGTTGTCCCCTCCAAAACTCATGTGGAAATTTGATCCCCAGTGTGGCAGTGTTGGAAACTGAGTCATGGGGGAGGATCGCTCATGAATGGATTAGTGCTCTCCCTGGGGGAGAGGGGAGTAAAGAGTGAGTTCTCGCTCTGTTAATTCCTGTGAGAGCTGGTTGTTTAAAAGACACTGGCACCTCCTCTCTCTCTCTCTTGCTTCCTCTCCTTCCTCTCACCATGTGATCTGCTTGTACCTGCTGCTTTCCACCATGAGTAGAAGCAGCCTGAGGCCTGTGTCAGATGCAGCTGTCCCAGAATTGTAAGCCAAATAAACCTCTGTTCTTTATAAATTACCCAGTCTCAGGTAATTCTGTTATAGCAGCACAAAATAGACTAAAACAATCATGGTATTCTTCCCTCCCGAGCCTGCATGTGGCCTCAGGATCCATCTCAACCCGCTATGGCAGTTGATGCTATATATATACTGCCAGTGGCTTACAAACTGAATCCTATTTGCCTCGCCTGGGCTATGGAGAAACTATCTTCTCCAGGTTTTGGAACAGAATAGGACTTGTGAACCAGATGAATGTCAGTCATGGCAGAATCAGACAACTGTACTTTCTAAACCTGGTGGTTTTTTTTTTTTTTTTTAATTGTGGTAAACTATACAAAACAAAATTTACCATTTTAACCACTTTTAAGTGTAGAGTTCATTAGTACAGTGGCATTAACTACATTCACACTGCTAGTTTTTTTTTTTTTTTTAATTGTGGTAAACTATACAAAACAAAATTTACCAATTTAACCACTTTTAAGTGTAGAGTTCATTAGTACAGTGGCATTAACTACATTCACACTGCTACGCCATATCACTGCCATCTATCTCTAGAACTTTTTTCATCTTGCAAAAAACAGAAACTTTGCACCTATGAAACACTGCCCATTCTGCTCTCCACCATCCACCCCCCGCCAAGCTTAGTGGTTTAATGCCTGTATTTTCTTTATTTACCTGCTGCTCTTTTCTCTTTGTGTACAATAAAATCTTTAGAAAACATAGCCTATCTCAGCTGTGTAGGAGAAAGGCCTTTTTTCCCACACTTGAACCAGAGCTATAAAGTAGGCTTTTGGGAGGCCCAGCATGGTGACTTCAGTGAATGAACAGTGAGAGAACCTCTGGGGACAGAACTGCTGGGCAAGCCTGCCCTTCGTCACTAGGAAATAGCTCAAAGATATGCTCCAACCTAGCTCTGAACCCCAGGGGCCCTGCATTTATTTTCACTGGACTTGGAAGCTGATGCTCAAGCCTTGAACTTGAGGAATCTTAGCCTATACCAACAACAGCTTTTGGCTGTCCCATAATTCTAGGTTTGAACATCATAAAGATTTTGCAGTATGACAGCTTCTCAGTCCCTTGAGTCTATGCTTTAGGAATAAAAAATGTAAAACTGGAAGGTGCAAACAACTAGATTAAGGGGCAGAGCTAAAAGAATAGGAATGTCATAAATAAAAGCCACAGGTTGGGCAGTGTTCTGTCTCCCTGATCTGCCTCCTGTTAACCTTGCTGCTCCTTCCCTTCCATACAACAGTCATGGGCTATCATTTTCCTTCTCTTTTATTTCTCATGCTAATTACTGAGGCACTGCAATGTGCATCCTGATTTATCCATCTTCTTACACACTTAGGCCTGTGGAGGGGATCGGAGGAAACTCTGCACGAACAGGGAGAATTCCAAGCAGCATAAAGATAATTTAAAATGTTACCTTTTGGATATGTTGGTTTAAGCCAGAAAATAGGAAGGTTGCCACAGAGTTCCAAGACTTTAGAACTCAAGAAGCTGTTGTCCTTCACAGGCTGACCTACAGCCACCCAAATAAGAGAATTTTCTTCATATTTAACTGGCATGATCTTGCCTTCCTGTAAGTAAGTAAAAATGAAATGCATTTAAGCAAAGAGGAAGGTGGAACATGCTGCATATTGAGTCAGATGCTGCAAAGATTATTTTGCCTTATAAAAAATTAATGAGAATTCTGTGTGTGTGCACGCACACCTTAAGGTCCTGATCTCTTCTCTTTGTAGCTCTCTTCACAATAGTCAGCACATCTCCTCCTGTTGCCCTGCCTTTGGTTAGCTGTAATGTGTGAATATGAGTATCCTGAGATGAAGTGAAAATTACTTGATACCAACTTTGAGATTTAGGTTAATCTGATGTTTTTGATCAAAGATGTTTTTGAGGAAACGCAATTGAATGGACCCTGGAATCCTATAAAGAATAGAGGAACCCTTCAATTGAAGTGAAAATCTTGTGGGGTTTTGTTCTGCAACTTCTGAACAATAGAAAAAGCAAGTGGTTGGTTCTTTAATGTCTTCAGTTCAAAGTATTATTTAACATAAACCATTTCTCCATTTCCCAGCTATAACAAAACATGTTTCAGATGTTCCTTGCATCAAGCACACCATTGAGATTTCAAAGCTAAACCCTGGATATTCTTATACAGTGAGATACTAAGAATGGTTTAATAACCCAGGAGACAAATTTATTTTGCCAGATTGTTCCTTTTATGTATTTATTAGTTTGCAATAGTTTGGAGAAATTAAAATGTTTTATTTTTTATTCTTAGCTAAAAGCAGCACTTCATTTGTGCTTTCTCTCAGGCTTATGGCTGCATTAAAACAAAGTTATTGGAGGAAGTGATCACTCAGGTAATCCAGTTATTTACCTTAAATTAAATGGCTCCATCCAGGAAATGAATGCTATTGGAGTACAGTAGCTTTTTAAAGTTATACAAAACTGATGAAAAATTTATGAGAGCAAGTGGTGCATAAATCTGCGCCTCACAGTCTAAAGTGTGTGGGGAAGAGTGGGATGATTGGGATAATGCATACAGATGCATCCTACAAGCTAAGGATGTTAAATAAGTCTTAGAGCTTGTACTTTCAGTTGCCTACCCAATCTCCTTCCTCCCTCTCCTTCCTTGCAACATAATTCTGCTTTTGTTGGAGGCAGCAATGTGCGCAGCGCCAGGAGAGACACTTGTTTCTCAGACTCTTCAGCAGCTGGGGATGACCATGTGACCAGTGCTAGCCAGTGAGATTCAGGCTGCAGTATGTTGGGGGACTGGGAGGCTTTCTGCATTTCCTGATTAAAGGGAAGTTGTGGTTGGCACTGCTTGACCTCTTCCTGACTTTCCTTAGAAGTCAGGAACATCTTGAGCAGTGCCAACCATGTTTAGAGGTGGAAGGAAAGACCAAGAAAATTCACAGAGACGCTGGCCACTGAGCCAATGCCTGCAGCTGCCTACCTCCACATTGCTTACCATGGAAAAAAACAAACACCTATTTGTTTAAGTTACTTTAAGTGTACTTTTTGCTACCGACAGCCAAACACATTCCTAAATTACAAACCTAA